GCATATATCGACACTTTTTTTATCTACATATTCTTTTATAACAATAAGTTGAGTTAAATTTAGAATCCCTGATTTTAAAATATGCCGTTAATAGCAATTTGTTCATACTTAATCATTAGGAAATATCAACCTTAAACGCTAATTACTGAAACAAAATAATAATTTATGTTCATACTGACATTAGAAATTTTACAATTGTTTGTAGATATTTAAATTTACGATGATATAATTTATAGATATTTAAATTTAAGAGAATATAATTTTTGAAAAAAAATCATAAATATTTAGAATAACTACATTAAAAAATATGTCATGAAATTAGGAGAAATCCAACTATATACTATATATTTTATTTATACTTTTTATTAACATTTTAATTTCACAAAATGACGTCACTGTGTCCACAGATCTCGGAGATCGCAAGCAAAGATATTATAACTTTCTCTTTGTAAAAATAAGTTAGACTTTTTCTGGTTATTAGCTTTCAAACTTTACGTAATTAACACATTATTTCCGTTCATAAACATAGTTCAAAAAAACTTTCTTGGCCATTATATTAAAAAAAATACCATTTTAAACTTATAAAAATGTTTTACTAGTTGGTGAAAATGACACGATAAATACTTTATTTTAAAAAGTTCAGTTTTAACTTTAACTATTAAGAAAAATGAAGGCATATATCGACACTTTTTTTATCTACATATTCTTTTATAACGATAAGTTAAGTTAAATTTAGAATCCCTGATTTTAAAATATGTCGTTAATAGCAATTTGTTCATACTTAATCATTAGGAAACATCAACCTTAAACGCTAATTACTGAAACAAAATAATAATTTAGGTTCATAATGACATTAGAAATTTTACAATTGTTTATAGACATTTAAATTTACGATGATATAATTTATAGATATTTAAATTGAAGAGAATATAATTTTTAAAAAAAATCATAAATATTTAGAATAACTACATTAAAAAATATGTTATGAAATTAGGAGAATTTCAACTATATACTATATATTTTATTTATACTTTTTACTTACATTTTAATTTTCTTTGACTTTATCTATTTTTTAATTCTTTTCACCTGCCTTTCTTTATGAAGTAACGAGGCGGTTTCTATTTAAATAATGAATTTTTATAAAAGTTCTTAACGACAGAATAAACGTATTGCTGTTTTATATTAACTGTGTCATTTCGGAATCCATTCTTTACATAGTTGTTCATTTACTAAAGGGAACACGCCGAAAATTATGTTTTTTCCTTTTGTTTTTCTATTAGAATTTTTTCAAGTTGCAATCGCTCAAACTGGCATTTTGATAATAGTTTTAAATTCTTGTAAATTCACTACAAAAACTGAGGAAAGTCATTATAGAAAATAACTTAGAATATCTCGCAAAAAGAAATGCTCCAATATTTGTTAGAGCTAGTAAAGCTGATCGCTCGGTTCTTGGAGTAAAAGTGCGAGCTTTGCGCCAAAGTGACGGTACTAGAGAAAATCGGAGGATTGGCGAGGCGAGAGTTTCTTTAAAGGAGTGAACCAGCCCTTCTATTCTCTTTGGCCCTGTAATGGTACACCTAGATAAATAGTTAGTATAGTTATAACAACAGAGTATTTTATTAAATCATGTGACATAAAAAAATCATTTGACGTGATCCTCAATTAAAAGAGAAGATTCAGATATTTTATAAATAAAAATTTCTTCAGTATCTTTCTGTAAACTGTACACCTCTATTTAATTTTTTACAGTTTAAGTAATAATATATTCACTTCATTACTTTCTTTCATTTAATTCAACTGGCTTTCTTCTTTTTCAGATCAACTTCTTTGGTGATATTCGGATTAAGTACACTGTGCATGATTTGTTATACTTTTGCAATTGCATATTGTAAGCATATTGGTATTCAGTTTTCACTATTCACGCTGCTTGGGTGAGTTTTTTAATGTATTTTAGCTAACCAAAAAGTTATTTTAATTGTTTTATTTTTAATGTTGCAAAGTGCATAATATAAAAATACACCTATCATACTTTTATTATATTTCAAAAGGTGAAAATACTTGTACTTGTTGTATAACTCACAAAATACAATACTGGAAAAACAAAGAGACATATCTGTATAGAAATTTTCAGACTGCAAACATTATTTTAAGTTCCGAAATCAGACACGAAAACGTACTTTCTCTGAATAAACAAACCTTTTTCTCGACGGACTTGGATTTATAACCCCCAAATAATATAGGGGGTAGCCACAATCTGAGAAATGTGGTCCTCATTATTTGGTCGGGAGAGCGATCCAAATTTTGGACAGCTTAATATTAATTTTACTGTTTGCGTATTTCATCATATCTCGAGAATTTTCTACGTGAATTGAAACCTTTTTATATGCAATTATAAAATGCCTTTGTTTAATGATAATTCCATGCAAAAAATAAATTCTAGTAATTACTTATTATTTTTTTATTACTTTATTTAATAATATAGTCGAAAAAATTTTGAATCGCAAGGTATACAAATTTTTTACTACATTTTAAAATGGGCAAATTTGCTAGGCAATCAATAAAAAATGCAATCAATGCAAAAGCAATCATCGGACAATAAAAAAAATCTGACTGAAATCGGTTGAATGGTTGCTGAGAAGCCGAATTTTAAATATACAGCTTCTTTGAAATTCGATATCTAAGGAGCTATTTAACCGATTTCGCTCAAATTTTGTTTTTTGCAGTGTAAACCATTCATTCCTTAATTTCATCAATATGTTTCTTCAAATTCATATTCCATGTCTATGTTTTAAGTTCGAAGGCAGGTTTAAAGAGAAAACAAAATTTATCAGCTCCAAGCAGCGTGCTTGTAGCTTTGTCTTTGTAGAGTTAATCATGCCAGCATAACGTAACGCGAGCACATGCGCAGTTGATTCAAATTTTACTTACGGGAGCTAACGTTAAGGTGCGAAATCTCCCTATAATGCATGCTGTTTTTTTAAGCAGCTATTGCGTAATTTATATAAAGCATATTGAATGTGTTAAAAAAAATCTTTAAGGTGTAACATTTATTTCAAATTTAAACAATAAGAATTGAATTTGTTTTCTTAAATAGGATATAAAAATGTCAATCTATTGATGAAATAACAATGTATTGATGAAATAGCAATGTATTGAAATATCAATGTATTGATTATTGGTATAGATTTTTGATGACTGGTTACTTACCCGTTGGTTTTGATTTCGGCGTTGAGATAACTTATCCAATACCAGAAGCAATGTCTGGAAGTTTGCTCAATGCCTCAATACAGGTATATATGTGAAATATATTTCTACTTATAAAACTTTTTATTTTACGTCAAACGTATTTCAATCTAAAACGTTATCTTATTATGAAGTGTATAAGTTTAATATACATAAGAATAACTGTACAATAACTCTCGGGGAGAACCGATTTTCCGAATTGATTTGTCAGAACTTGGTAATTTTCAAAATGCAGCAGATGACGATTCAATCGTATCATCTTCGGGAAAAATTGACATACATCATTCTTTCCCTTTGATCTTCAAATATTTTTAGATATATATAGTAATACGTGATAGGTAAAACAAGTATTGTAAAAAAAATTTTTAGAGTCAATTACTACTCAGGTTAACAAAGAATTTTTTTTTTATTTTAGTTACTTTTTTATTAAATAATTAAAAAACTTTCTCAAAATTTAATTCTAAATCTAATCTAAAACTAATTAATAAAATTGGAATGAATTAATATTTGAAAAAACTGTATTAAAATCAAAGTGTCATCCACTAGAAGTTTAAAAAAAAATGTATTTGAAGTTGAGTGTATGAATAAAAAGTATTTTATTAACGATTGAAAATTTGAACAAGATACGAGGGTTGCTATTTATATTTCTGGCCTTGGCAACAGTAAGTAATGCTAGGCGACCGTAGACGATTTTAATCGAAAGTTTGATATTTTTAAACATAAATTCAGCAGACGATTTACCATTATAGCTTCATTTGTGTTGTAGACAGTAAATTGAAAAGTTCCTCTCTTTCAAAAAATGGAATTGAATCGTGAACATTTTCGTGCCATTATTTTTCATAACTTTCGACGTGGATTGTCAAGACAAGAGTACTTCGATGTTCTTTATTCAGCGATAAAGCGCCATCCTACAGCACTGTAAAAAATTGGAATAACGAATTTAATCGTGGTCGATGTTCGATCCAGGACGAATCCCGTGCAGGTCGTCCAAAATCCGTTGTTGTGCCAGAAAAGATCGATGCTGTGCGTGAACTGATAAAGCAAGATCGTCATGTGACATACCGTGAGATAGAGGCGTCTTTGGACATTAGTATGACTAGCATCAATAAAATATTGCATGAACATTTGAGCGTAAAAAAAATTTGTTCGCGTTGGATCCCGCATAATCTGACAAACGCTCAAAAAAAGGCTCGTGTCGATTGGTGCAAGGAAATGTTGGAAAAATACGTTCAAGGTACATCAAAGGCTGTGTATAACATCTACACAGGTGACGAATCATGGATCTATGCATATGAGCCGGAAACAAAACAGCAATCAACTGTATGGGTCTTCCAAGACGAGGCAAAACCAACAAAAGTTGTTCGAGGAAGAAGCACATCGAAACAAATGATTGCCTGTTTCTTCGGCATTAACGGTCATGTGGCAACAGTGGCGTTAGAGCAACGCAGGTCGGTCAATTCTGAATATTACACGACCATTTGTTTGCCAGAAGTCATCGGAGAAATTCAAAAAAAGCAGAAGAACAGGCGAATCATTCTTCATCATGCAATGCGAGCTCTCACATATCGACTCAAACAAAGGCATTTCTGACTGAGTGAAAGATCGAACTGATGGGTCATCTGCCGTACAGCCCTGATTTGGCACCCAATGACTTCTTCTTATTCCCACACATCAAAAATAAATTACGTGGACAACGATTTTCGACCCCCGAAGAAGCGGTTGATGCATTCAAAACGCATGTTTTGGAGTTACCTCAATCGGACTGGAAAAAGTGCGTTGAATATTGGTTCAAACGCATGCAAAAGTGTATTGATCATCATGGAAAATATTTTGGAAAACAATAAAACCAATTTTGATCCTACATGTTTGTTTTTTCATTATTATGCCAGAAATATAAATAGCAGCCCTCGTAATAGGGAGAGTTTGAACTAACAGTAGGAATTGAATAACATTATTGTAAACGTAATTGTAGTGATTATTTGTGACTATTGCTGCATAGCATATTTAATCGATTGCAAAATAACTACCTACCTGACTTACAAGAGACGTGTTTATAGGGAGTAAAATCGTAATTTTATGTGCATGGAAAAATTTAGCATAGAGTTGGCGTTGCGTTCACCGAAACGCCAACGTTATGTTCAACTCCTTAGTGAGGCTAAATATTATAATAGTCCTTAATAACTGATAATTGGTAAGGTTTTTTTTAACCATGAATCTCAACACATTTTTGAATGAAATTCGTGGTTTAATTACCCAGAACAGTTTTGCTGTGGAAAGTAAAAAATAATTTAGGTTACCATGTTTACGCAAAAATATTTACCATTAGTATTTACGAACTTCATACTTATACTATTTTTAAGTAATTTACGGGAGGCTGAAAAAACAACCCTCAAAATTGAATTCCAATTTCACTTACACAAATAATACGAATTCCAATTATATTTAAATGAAGCTAACAAGAGTTTTAAACATAGATCATTTTTAATCATGAACTGCATGTTTGAAATTTTTCTTAAACTAAAGTTGTTTTGATTTTAAAAAATTTTTGCTTGTGTACATTTTTTTTCCAGATCTTTAGCATTATATTAACAAACATCGCATCTAGTTTACTGCAGGCTTACGGAGATTTTTCATCAAATATTTTCTTTTCTACCACCCTAGCCATAGGGATTATTTTTATAGGTAAGTCATTTTACTGCATTTGCATTATTCCTCAATTAAAATCAAATGCATTAATCAACGAAATAGGGCCAGAAAATTATTGGTTACAGAGACATTTTGATTCAGAAAATTATTGCTCCATAACACACGTGCTTACCAAGTGGCTAAAATATGCCTCACAAAGAGCTAATTTTCTTTTATTTGTCAGATTTCTATCATACATATTTAGGAAGAAAATCCAAATCACACATTTTTATTAACGATAGTTCAGCTCGTTGTGAGCTAGGAGCGAGTCATGGAAGATAAGACTTAAAAATTTCGTGACCAACGTCGACGAAATTGTAAAGGTAATGTGATCAGCATTGCGCACAGTTTCAACTTTACCTCCCTAATCAGCTGGCACCCATCGATCCGTAATGGACCAGTCCATTTCTCAAGTTAAATGTTTTCACCACATGTGCTCAACAGCCGCAATGGTTCAGGGGATAGAGCATTCGCCTTTCAATTAGGTGAACCGGGTTCGAATCCCCAGCGATGGCTGGTCGAAACGAATCCGCATGCGGCTTGCACCGACCAACACAGTGCTGACGGGAAATATCCTAAGTGGTAGACGGATCGTGGGTTCGAGTCCCTCTGCAGTCAGGCTAACTCTGAGAAATTCTCGTGGTCTTCCTCTCCATGTAACGCAAATGCGGGTTAGTTCCCTCAAAAAAGTCCTCTACGAAGGCAAATGTCTCCAATACTTGATCTAAGAGTTCCCTTGTGTTCTGGATTGGGCTCTAAATTACAAGGCTACGGAGTTGAACATTAGTAGTTGTAAACCCGAAAAAATAGGTCGGCTGTTCAACGACGGTTATAAAATGGTACTGTGGTCAGCATTGCACACAGTTTCACCTTTACCTCTCTAATAAGCTGGCACCCATCGATCTGAAATGGACTAGTCTATTTCTCAAGTTACGTGCTTTTACCACTTGTGCTCAAAAAAATATATTTATGTAACTTTTCTTTCTTTTTTATTAGCGATAGCAAAGTGTGAATTGAAAAGAACAAGTGCAGAAACGGAAGAAGACATGATACCTTAAATAAGACAAGTTCAATTGGGGATCTTCGTGTGCTATTTTCCGTGTTGTCAAGAGGACCCTCGGCAAAGCTAACTATAGTTCGTTCACCAGGAGTTGTCACTTGGCTCCGCCTTCATCACGTGGTATCCGACGATATTATTTCGCTATTTCTAGGAGAAGGATGTGATCAATACTGAACAAAGTTGCTATTTGGCAATCATTATGACAAAAATATTTATTTCGCAATCTTTATGTGCATTTTTGTCTTGTTAAATATTTCATAAATTTGATATTTCTCTCTTTTGAGTGAATAGTTTGTTATTTTATATTTAATTAACTAGAGTAACGAAGGGTATAATAGCAGATGATAAAGCGAAGTAAGTGACGGAAAAAGAATTCGCTGTTGCGTTTGGCACGCATTAAGGATTGTCTCAATTTCAAGCACGGAGACGTTTCTCCTCTTACTCCCGCTTTGAAATGAACTCTTCGTCCGAGAAGGTGGAGCAAAGTGCCAACTCCTGGTGAGCGAACTATACTTTAGGAGAATAACGAATGTTTCTCGAATATAATCTGTGATTTGAAACTATAAGAAATTTCTCTGTTCTTGTGTTGTTTCTGTACTGAAAGAAGTAAAAAAAAATTTCTCTCATTTTCCATAAAAGTGATTCAATTATTGTTTTTAATTAATGCATGATTAAGCTCTTCAAATCATTTGCCATATTTCTTCGAAAGCTGAGGGGGATGAAGTTTTGCATCTATAATTGTAATATATTTTTTATTTCTAATTATGGCACTAAATCAAAACATTAAAATTAAAGGATTCCATTAACGTCTTGGAAAAGGAAGGGAACCTTTATCACTGTTTTCATTCAGGATATAAATACGAGAGTTGTTATTTTCTTAAAGTAAGAACAGTTTGGAAATAAAAACCAAACGAACGAAAATTTTCAAGAAGCAAATTTTTTCTCAAGATTCTACATACGTTTCTCTGTTTTTTCCTACATAGCTGACAAGTTTGTTTAAACACTATCATACCTTACAGCAAAATTTAGAATACCCTCTTCATACAAACTTGCCGCCTGCTCCATGCCGATGGGTGACCACTTAGATCAGTCTGCGTAGAGACCGAGGGTGTGCGGTATTGGTCCTCGTTAAACTGTTCTACCATAAAGTGCTCGACTTCACTTGCAAGTCGTCGGGCTACCGAAGCAGGGGGTGCCATTCCCTCTGCAGAGGATTAAAATTGTGATGGCATGTCTTCGGATCATCCTGAGGGATGTTTCCCAGACCGTCGCCAACAGCCCATTGTGCAGCTCTAGTGCGACGTAAATGAACTAGAACTACAACTGCCGCCTGCTCCATTAAGCAAGTGGTCACAGCCGTTTTCACGTATTTCATTATCGTTGTAGTGATTGCCGCAAAATGATGTTTGAAATATCAGAAAAGATGAATACCATGCAGTGCAAGGTCTGAACTGTAGGGAGGGGTGGTCCAAAACTTCCCAGTCAAAAAGAGTCCAATAAAGCTGGGATCTGAGCTGCGGAGAGAGTCATTGTCATAGAGTAGCAAAATTCCATGTTTGCATGGCAGGAAATTTTGCTACTTCACAAATCGTAACTTCACAAATCTGTCAGTGAATGTATGCTGCAGACAGGTTTTTTGCCGATTAAAACGCATTAATGACCGCATCTCGTGAGCGGCGGGCGATTCGTTAAATTTGAACATTTTAAAGACACGGAACTGACGGTAGGGGAGAGTGGGGTCAATTGTAAAATTTTTTGCTTAACTATTTTTAACTAGCAAAAAATCCAATATATTATTAGTATTAATTAACAGACGAGTAAAAGTAGACTATCCTCTACTAGAAAAAAAAATAAATACCTTATTTTAAATGTTATTATATTAGTGATTAACAATTTTTGACAGTCGCGCACTTGTTACAATTGTCCCCACTTACGGGGTCAATTGTAACAGTTCATAAATTCAACTGAAACATAGTTAATTATACATATTATCATAGTTGTGATATATTTTTTTATTGATCAAAATAGTAGTGATATTTTAGGAGTAAAAATAATAATGAGCAGAGACCTAAAGGGTTAAACTTTTAACTTTAAGGGGTTAAAAATTTTAATTTATGCTGTGAAAGGTGACAAATAAAATAATGCACATGCAACATAATATAAATGATATAGGAAACTATTGGTGGTTCTTAAAGAGTTAAGTAATGGTTTGTAAACATAAGATTATTTATTTTCAGCTGTTACAATCGTCCCTTTACTTATTGTTACAATCGTCCCCAAGACGCCATTTCAGCTTCATTTGTTAAAAACAATGCTAGTTAATTAACAAAACTAATCTTTTTTTTCTTAAAATGTTAATTAAGGTGTCCACTTACATATTCGGTTAATAATTTTTATTTGTTTAAACAAAATTACTATGTTACAATATAATATTCTAACACCAAAAAAAGTACTTACGTAGCGTGAAAATATCTTTTGTGATATAACTCTTTCAAAAGTACATAAAAATGGTTGCCAGCAGGGGTGTACATGTAGATTTATTAAATACACCTAGTGCGCCACGTAGGAACCGAATCTAGAACCCGACACTCGAAATATTTGCTCTGTTACAATCGTACCCTGTTACAATTGACCCCAATCTCCCCTACAGTTTACCTACACAGCTGCAACTCAGTATCGTAGTTTCCAAGGAACGCCGGGACACGACGTAAGCATACGCATCACATATAACTGCGCACAACAAAATGGCCCTTACTTAAAAAACAACCCTCCTATATTCAGCTGAATCTTATTTGGTCTAGTTTTTAAATGTTTTAGTTCTTAGAAGTTCCCTTGGAGAATTTTTTTTATTTATACCATGCGGCGACTGTACTTTGGGACAGTAAAGATTAGGGACACGTCACAAGGTACAACGCATGCATATTTTTTAATAGTTTAAAGCAGTTTCTGCAGAAAGGAAATGTTCTCTAATTTGTTGCAATCCAAATGTTCAAATACACAAAATTTTATTCCATTGAAGTATGTTTTAATTAAATGTATTATTACAGCAATTTTATTTTAATTTATATATTAAAAATTCCAAAGTAGTGAACTTGCCATGCATAATAATATTTAACCTCTATGCTCTATAACTAAAAACAATTTTCATTGTTTAACCAATTTTTTAGAAAGTAGCTGCCAAGAATCGCTACAAACTACAGTTTTATTGTATAGCACTACTCACTACTCTGTTTTCTTTTTTATTTTTTATATATTTTTTTTAAGTAGAACACTACACTTCCAAACTATGAAAAAAAAGTAGTGACTGCAGTTTCACTACTTATAGTGCACTACTTTCCACCACTGCTTTTATAATATGCTTATGTGTTCCAATTTTGTAAAAAAAATTTTATTCTTTTAGTACTAAAGTTATTTTCTTTTGTGATTTAAAAAAACAATTGTGTTGGAATAGAATAGGTGCAAATATATTGTACGAAGAATGAACTAAGGCTCAAGGTACTACCTTTGGGCGATTTGTATTCTCTATTCTGAATTGTCAGGAAATTTTTATTCGAAATTATTTCATGTTGCAAAGCTCCATTACAGCTAAACACTTTTGTATATTTAAACTCTGCCGTTATGTTGTAAGTCTAACTATAATTATCGAAGTTAACAATCAAGATGTTAAAAATGTGTCCCAAGTTACGATATTCTTCTTCAACTAAAAATCGTTTCGAAATAAATATGTGTATGCGTCATAAAATAATACCAATAAAAATATATCCACACTATTAAACCTACACTAATATTATCTTCTAAAGTTTTTTTTCTGCTGGGAATTTTATCTTCATTGTTTCATTCCATAAAATTGCACTTTTATACCCATATTTTCTATTTTAATTTATTCATTTAAAAAAATGGAGACATTCATAGGCTAGTTAAGTTTTCCATTTGTTAAAAAAAATTGCAATAATTTTAACAAGCGGAATTCATTAAAAAGTAAAAAAAGAAAAAAAATTCAGTTTTTACTGAACATCATACATAACTATGCATTATGAAATTTTTTCATTACTTGCAAATCACTTTTTCCCCTATATTTGACTTAACTTTGAGTTAAGTTAAAAGAATAATTAAACTTAAAGAGCAAATTAAAACAATAAATTAAATTAAAAATAATTTAATTAGAAAAATAGTTAATTTTTGCTTTGATTTTTTTGACAAAATATTGCACTGTATGAATAATAATTTCATTGTTTGACAAAATAACGTAACTTGCTTGAAACCAATTTTAATATTAAAATCATATATTTTCAGAGTTTCACTAGGTTTATTTTTATAAAAAGTACTGTGTTTTTATATATTTATCAAATAACAATAAAAATACTGTCTTATATACTATACGAAAAACAAGAGGCAACTGAAGGTCATTTTGTTCAGTTTTCTAAAATATGGAAGTTACTACTTTATCACGTGTCACTACTTTTGTTCGCACGTTCGCAGCTTTTGTGATATGAATACTAGATAAATAATTGACTCTTAGATGTATGGCTTTGTCTTTCAAAATACGATACCCGACGACACAGAATAATTTAGTGGTATATTTTATTTACGGTATTTCTTTTTTATCCCGTTGAAAAGAAAAATGTATCTTGAGTTTTTATTCTTCTGTGTTGAAAATAATAAAATTGGCTGAACCAGACGTTTTGAAATCGGTATGCAAATCAAAACGTATAAGTGTTTGAAAAATAAAATGTTTAAATTAATTTAAAATAATAATAATGAAAAGAAGCTGCTTATAAAAGTTTGAATTTAATAATTGAGGATTTCATTTATAGAATGCATAAAATATCCCGGCGAATTTTGGAATTGTTCTTTGTACTATGTTAATAGGTGATCTATAAAAGTTTTAATTGTTACCTGACCGGTACGAACAAACATCAAAAGGAATTTTTTTATCGTCGATCATCATTTTCAGGATTGTTACAATTCTTTATATCTTTTAAGCAATACAAGCTTTAATCGTGATACATAAAAGTTTTAATTGTTACCTAATCGGTACAAACAAACATCAAAAGCAATTTTTTATCGTCGATCATCATTTTCAGGATTGTTATAATTCTTTAGATCTTTTAAGCAATACAAGCTTCATATCTTTTAAGCAATACAAGCTTTAATCGTGATATATAAAAGTTTTAATTGTTACCTAACCGGTACAAATAAACATCAAAAGCAATTTTTTATCGTCGATCATCATTTTCAGGATTGTTATAATTCTTTAGATCTTTTAT